TGTCACTTCAAGGACAAACTAAAAATTATGCGATTGCACCAAGTGATGAGGAAAAACACACCATTCCCTGCTTGTGTGAAAAGTCTACGTCTACCAAATACAGAAGAAGTTTTTATATGCAACGGCACAGAACAAAACAAACGTAGAGGACCTAAATAGGAATCTGAGAGGAGAGGAAGATTAAAGACAAAAGGAAAATAATAAAAAAAAGTTCTGCACAGCAATGAATCTATAAATTGAAGCAAAAATGTAGTTAGGTACGAGGAGCAGGTCCCAGAACAAAAACTTAACACATGATCTGGCTGAAAATACAAATAATTCCATTTACTGACAGATACAATCAGTAAACGAAAAGTAACTTTATGTTGAGAAAAAACAGACTCTGAGTACAGAGACTGGCAAAAACATGAAAGTCAAGATAACCTTAAAAAATAGGCAAAATAGCACATAAAACAGGAAACACCTAAATAAAATCCTAAGACAAAACCTCACAAACTATAAAACACAACCTGCGTGGTTTTCTCCTGAGACTGTTTTTCCTGTTTCAGATATCAAAGCATGTGTGTTTGCTGTCTCTTGACATTAGCTGCTTTTTTGACTCATATTTGTTGAACTGTTTCCTGCTCAGAGGAAAGCAGGAACTTCTGGATTATTCTCCTCTCAGAAATTTACTAAGTTGATCTCAAGGTCCTGTCAGGAGGTCAGAACCATTTAAGGTCTTTGTTTATTTAAATAGGTTGCTTATGTTGCTTATGTGTTTCCAACCATTAGTTTAATCTAAGACAGAATCTATGTTGCACAAAACTCATAGATAAAACATTTTCTATGTCAAATATCACTGTGTATAAGACATTGCAGCTCCATCCTCTTTAGAGCGAAAGAACAGTGGGAGAGGGTAAAAAAAAAACTAAATAGTATGTTCCCCTGCAGGATTTGGCACACAATTTTAGAACAGCATCCTACCCAAACAGAGGCTTGCCAATTAGCTGTGTGTGAAGATGTCTCACAGGCCAGTGAGTGGACAGGCCGTGCTCTGGTAGGTCATTTACCCCCTGTAAGAAGTGCTGCCAGCGTTGGCAGCCTTGTTTTGTGGAAAACGTATTAATGGCTTGTTGAGTTTAGCACAAGTTGCTTCCCATGATTCCTCTGCCTCCCTGGCTTTTGCATTTCAAAAAAATTGTAAACCTTTTTATTTATTTATTTATTTATTATTACTTTTTTTTGCTTTGATGCATGCCCTCTTCTATTGAAGACAACAATGATTTGGATGCTGAATTTCACCTTTTTCTGACTTATGAAACAATTCCTGGATGTCGTGACTTTGTTTGAGCAGAATGGCTCATTATAGATTACCATGGAGACGTCTTCAAACAAGGAAGTGAATATAAAAAAAACAATTCTATTCATTCTAAGAAGATTTGACATGCGTCATAGGATGAGATATCTAACGCATGTTTGAAGCCAGACATCTTTCTTCAGTTCAACGAGGCAGTTCCCGTGTGAGACACATCACCAGTTTCCCTTTTTTGCTCAGCGATGAGGATAATTAGACTCTGCGTTCCCATGATAGCAAAGGTTGCTTGACAGGTCTGAGCATGTCACTGGAAAAAGACTACCAAAAATAGTTCATTCTGTGTTTTCTAAAGAAATCAAAAGAGTGTTGGGGTATAGCCTTTATTCCACCAGACTTGTGACAAACCAGTAAGGTATTTCCAGACCGAATATGCTGGATTCAATATGCATCTCTTTGTTGAGCTGTAACACAGCTGTAGAAGGGCAGTCGAGTTAAATCAATGACACAGCAGGTGATTTAGGCTTCATCTTCTACGTGTCCCTTTAGAAAGCTGAATCTGAAGACAGAGCAAAGTCTTCACATTGAACTATTTGTTCATGAGCACCAGTGCAAGCCCAGATTATTTTTTTCCTCCAAATTAAAATCTCAATGGATAAGATACCGAGAAAGAAAGCTGATCAGTGATGCTTAAAGCTCAAATACAGTCAGCATGAATAAATGAAAGCAGTAATTCCTAAACGTGTGATGCTGGGATGTTATACAGTAGATTTACACTTATGACCACCTCCTATATGTTTTTATCTTTATTTTGCCTTTACCTATAAAAAAAAAAGCTCCCTGAGGCTAGAGAGCACATTGTTTTGTTTTGTTTTTTTTTATTGTTGGGTTCATTGTGTCTTTAATGAATTTCTTGTGATGTAGGAAAACATTAGATGGATCTTAAATGTTAATTTTAATAGATTAAGGTTGTGGTCTGTGGCCACAGCAATTCTTATCTCACTGCCAACGATACAATCTATAAAAAATATTGTATGTGAGCAGGAAACGTTGATGCTACAGGATCCAATTCATCACTTTATCAAAATGTGTTGATTTCACACGATGACAATATTTGCAGTTTAATACAACAAAACAAAAGAATGAGACAATATATTTCTATCTAACTGTAATGTGAATTTTGAGCAAACCTTTAAAATGTCACAAAAAATACAAAATTAGGCGTGTTTCCTCTATTTGTTTAGAGCAAATCAACCAGGCTATGTAAAGCGTAATTTCGTCTAACGTTGCCGATAGGCTTTAGTAAACAGAAAATACAGATTGCAACAGGGATCATACATTTCTGGACAATGGAGAGACATTTTTAAGAATGTGTTGCTATTAGGCACCTTGTAACTGATCTGCCGTATCAGTTTCGACATTATCAAGCGAGCATAAAAACTTTTTAGCAAAACAGAAGTGKTTTTTTCAAACTTTGCCATTTCCATGAACCTTTTCTGATGCAATACTTCAAAAATGTGCGTTAAAAACTTTGATTGAAACACTGTATTTTCATTTAAACAATATAGTGCATATTTTAAAAAATGACCTTATGGAAAGCTTTTGTTTTATATTTATATTATTTTTAAAATGTGAGGCACTATTAGCAAAAAATACAACTGCTCAGCAGTAGATGGAGAATGGCAACAAATAAATGACAAGAAAACTCTGAGTAACTCAACAACAATTTCTATACTATGAACTTTTAATAAACGAGGTACACTTTCACAAAATTGTGTTTTGTCTGCTAACAAATAGGAAACGTATGACCTCATATTGACATTCATAAGCTGCAGTAAACAAACAGTATCATCATTATAATAGCAGTGATGCCAGTAAAACTGTTTAGTTGGAGTGAGAATTTTAAACCTGATGGACTAAAATATGATAATAGAGCAATTGGCAGCATGATAACTTAGTGCAAAGATCTTCAACCCTGCTCCTCGTGACCCACTTTCCTGTATGTTATGGCTACTTCCCTTCTTTGGCATACCTGATTCAAATAACTAAATTACTTACTCAGAATGTCATCAAGTTTAGCAGATGCCTGTCAATCACTCATTCATTTCAGTCAGGTGTGTTGAAGCCAGGGAACATCTAAAACATGCAGAATAGTGGGTCATAAAGAACAGGGTTGAAGGCCTCTGGCTTTGCGGTGAGCACTGTTGACTCACTGCAAGAAGTCCAGGTTTGACCTGTAGGATGTTTCAGTGAGGAGTTTGCATGTTCTCCTCATGTTTGTTTGATTGTTCTCAAGGTACACCAGTTTCCTCCCACAGTCCAAAAACATGTATGTTCAGGCTGCTTTCAGGTCCTGGTCTTCCTTGACAAGGAAATCTGTGATCTCGATGAGGATTTGTCAGGCTTAATAAATAAATTAAACTTATTGATAATACTGCCCCGTGGCAAATCTGAACTCTGAAAACAAAAATGCCTTAAGGTCTGTTTCTTCTTTAAGTTCACACTGAACTCAGCTCACATATTCTAATGTGAAGTTTGTCTTTACTTGCTCAAATCCAATTTTTGACTTTATTTTTGTATATTTTGCCTGGTCATTCACATTGCAAGTACAATCAGACTTCAATGTGAACAGTTTAGAGATCAGCAAGTGCAGAAGAAGGTGCATCAAATGCAGAATAAAGGTGCTATAAATGTGTTGGCATGTATGTATCAATTCTGTTGTTGTGCAATTAGAATAGACTAAATTATTATTTGGCATGATTGTTTCATCCAATGTTTTCCTTTGATCATTCTGCAAAGAACAACTGTTCATTATGTACAGCCTAACATGGTCATTTTGACCCACATGTACATCAGAGGAATAACCAGATATTTGTAGAAACAAACTTGCTTGATAACTCCTATAGGTAAAATAATTAGGTTTTATTCATCCCAGATGTTAGAAGCTGATAGATTGTTAGTCTGTTTTACTGATCCAATCACCTCATGCATACAAATAAATCAGAACAAATTGGCTAATCTCCATATACAGTATCTACATTATACATGTATTGTATAGTCCTTGAGGGGTTAAATAAATTCATAAAGACTGAACTTACTGATCTCTAATCACTGAAATGTTGGTGAAAGGTCTTTTTTCCTGTGTGTAAGAGAATGTTAGAGTTTGCAACCAGTGCCTTCTAGCTGTTGYCTGAAGAAAACAGTATTTTGACACATTCTTCATGCTCAGTAGTTTAAATGCACTTCATTCTGACAGTGAAGTGCTAGTAATAAAACTGTCTTGTAATATATTTTGTACATTTGTATCCGTGGAGCCAACATGGTGACGAAACTCATTCTCTGAACACTATATTCAACAATAGTCCAGAGAGATCACAGAGCCATGCATGGCTTCCTTAAATTAATTAGATGAGGGCTAGATTAAGACTCTCGGGCAAATCATTGTCATTAGTGAAGTGAATTAGGGTGTAATGACAGGCACATAGGTTTCTGAGCAAGGTGGAATAAATGTCAGAAACGAAGACAGCTGAAAGGAGAGACAAAATGTCAAAACCMGAGAAAGTGTGGAAAAGCTGACTAAAAGTATGCAATAAAATCTTTCTCATTTGTGTTTGTTTCCATATTTGTTAAAGTTTTGAAGGCATATTGTCATTTTTGCAGCAAACGAAATTTTAAATACAAGAAAAAGTAATAAAAGTGGATAACTGACCTTAAAAAGGCGCAAAATGTTGGCCACCATGATTGACACGGAGCTGGAGGAAGCGCCGATCACCCCCACCACCCTCTCTGGCTTCGTGATAATAGGCGGCCCTCCACTGAGACACTTGACATCGGTTGAGTCTTTCTCAATCAGCGCCTGGACAAATGTCAGCGACTGCTCCAGAGCATGGGTGTCCCGGGAGCAGGTGTCCAAGATGCGGGCCCCCAGCGTGATGTTAGGCAGCAGCTCATTGTCGTTATTGATACGGTCCAGGGCAAATAGCATGGCCTCCAACCTGTGGATCCCTTTCTCCTTCTTCAGCTCCCCACAGGCTTTTCCGTCGTTCCCCCTCGCATGCACAGGGAAAAGGCCACCCAGAGATATGTCTCCATCAATACGTATCGAGTTGAGGTGTGTGTGGCCTGGCATTTTGGGCTTGGCTGCCAAGGTGATCGTGAAATAACTAGCCAGCAGCAACACCCAGCAGAAAACATCTTTGTGACGGCCATTCCACAGTCTCTTAAAGCCTCCTCGCAGAGTCATAATGAATGGCTAAATCCACATCCAAATACAAATTCAAGTCTTTTGAAAGTGAAAGAGGCGTGCGCACATAAATCCACACACACACATGCAAATGTCCCGGAGGTTAGTTGCAATGCCTTTTCAGTTGTCTTCAGAAGTCTCTTCTCATGATTTCTCACTCTGGCTCAAAGTCAGCAGCACTAATTACGCCGCCTCACTCTGTTTATTTCCCCTTCATTTCTTTTTTTCTTCCTTGTGTTTTACTCCTCTCCTACACCTGAGAGCGGTGGATACATGCAGTAACTAAACAGTACAGAGTGTGCCGAAGCAAAGTCCACAGAGAATGCTCTCATAAGGCAAGAACAAAGATGGGAAGCTTGCCTCTTCTTTTGTTTTTCCTTTTTCAAAAGCCCACAATTACATTCGGCTTTCCTCGTGCTGTGTCAAGCAGACAGCAAGTCACAGTGAGGTCCACATCAGGCTCCTGCAAAGAGAGAGAAGACAGAGACAATCAGAAAACAGCAGACACAGCAAATTATGGAAATACAGCTGGAGGAGAAAGATGAAACCACATCTCAGTAAAGATGTGTCTATTTACAAAGCGGGCGAAGACAAGCTGCTGTATCATGATTTCTGTTTCAATCATAGTGGACCTCAGACACCGAGGGCTCTGGTCAAGATTTTTTAATTCAGGCAAAAATAAAACCCAGCCTTCTGCAATGGAAATCTGCACTGTGTTGCTCTCGGTGCTTCTACTGCCTTCAGTGCAGAGTAATGAATTATTTCTGTGTTCCTTGAGCATGAGTGATTTGCTTTTGCTTGGCACAGTTTCATAAGCTTCATACAGTAGCTGTGCACTGCTCTCCATGTAGATTGTCCTCAGAGTCTTTTGACACTAGATTATGAAGTACACAAACATTAGGAGCATGATTTTCTCAAGATATGAGCAACGCACCTTCTCATTGCATGGCTGAGCACATTGGGTTTCTATAACGCCAATTCCAGTGAAGTTGGGAAGTTGTGTAGAAAAAAAACTATGATGATTTTCAAATGCTTTTCAAACTGTATTCAGTTTAATACACTACAGAGACAGGATATTTAATGTTTAAATAGATAAACTTTATTGATTTTTGAAAATCTTAACTTGATTTGAATATGATGCCTGCAACACATTCCAGAAAAGCTGGGACAGGGTCATGTTTGCCTTTGTGTTTCATCACCTTTTCTTTTAACTCAATCGTTTGGCAACTGAAGACACTGTTGAAACATTGTTGCTGGATTTTTTTTTTCCCATTCATGCTTGATGAACAACTTCAGTTGCTCAAGAGTTTGGGGTCTCTGTTGTATTTTGCTCTTCATAATGCTCCACACGTTTTCAATGAGAGACAGGTCTGGACTGCAGCCAGGCCACTCTAGTACCTGCACTCTTTTACTTCGAAGYYACGCTGTTGTAACAAGTGCAGGATGTGGCATTGTCTTGCTGAAATAAGCTAGATGTCCCTGGAAAAAATGAGGCTTTAATGGCATCATGTGTTGCTCCAAAACATGTATGTAGCTTTCAGCATTAATGGTGTCTTCACAGATGTGGAAGTTACCCATGCCATGGGCACTAATACACCCCCATACCATYAGAGATGCTGGATTTTGAACTTCGCTCTGATAACAATCCAGACAGTCCTCTTTCTCCTTGGCACGGAGGACACAACGTCCATGATTTCCAAAAAATTTTTGAAATGTGGACTCTTCAGACCACAGGGCACTTTTCCACTTTCTGGGTGTTGTTGATATCTGGCTTTGGCTTTGCATGGTAGAATTTTAACTTACACGTGTAGATGTAGAGACGAACTGTGTTCATTTGCTGTTTACTTGCAGAGATTTGTCCAAATTCTCTGAAACGTTTGATGATGATAAGGACTGCAGATGATGCAATCCCTATAAATTCCTTGCAATTGTACATTGAGAAATGTTCTTAAACTGTTGGACTCTTTGCTCACACAGTTGTTCACAAAGTGGTGAACCTCCCACCATCCTTTCTTATGAACGACTGAGCCTTTCAGGGATGCTCCCTTTATACCCATCATGATACTCAGCTGTTTCCACTGAACCTATTCACCTGTGGAATTCTCTAAGCAGGTGTTTTAGAGCATTCCTCAACTTTCCCAGTCTTTTGTTGCCCTTGTCCCAGCTGTTGTGGAACATGTTGCTGCCATCAAATTCAAAATTGAATATTTGAAAAAAAAAACAATAAAGTTTATCCATTTGCACAACAAGTATTCTGTTTTTTTTTTGTAGTGTAATCAATTAAATATATGTTGAAAAGGATTTGTAAATCATCGTATTCTGTTTTATCTATGATTTACACAAACTTAATTGGAATTGAAGTTGTACAAAGAGATCTGGAGGACACAGTGGGAGAAACCTGCATCTATCCATGTATTTTTCAATTGACCATTACACACTCCCCCTCTCACACACACACACATCTGCCAGGCCTCACCTCATGCTGATTTTTTATGCTACCATTCAGCTCCCTGCTGTGGCGTGGCCGGCAACAGAGGACACAAGGGGCAGAATTTCRTTCAGGTTGACGAAATTGCACTACGGTTGCACCAGCTGTCAAACCTATCACTTTAGAGATGTGATACTTTGCAGTTATTTTAATGAAGAAGAAAGCACCATGGTTGTCAGTGCTGGCTTTTTAATTGCAACTTTTTTGTGTAATCAAAAAGACGTGTTTTTTTCTTTATTTATTTATTTGTTGGAACTACAAGCTTGGAGTGACGGTGTCAAGAGATTTGCTACTAATCATGAATTTTAGACAGCTTTGCTGTCTGCTCGCCACGTGTGCATCTTTGCTTGCCTCAACTTTGGACATCAAATCAAATAATAAAGGCTCTTACTCAACAAAGTGACCTGTCATGAGCTGCCTCTCTCATCCTGCTGGGAAGCAAAAGGATATATTTAAATCACTCTGCACAAATCATCCCTCTAAAACACAGCATCCATAATGGATGAAAGCCTCGCAGTCACTGCAAAGCATCTCATTCTGTGAAAAAGGCTTCACAGAAAAGGACAAGGAAAAGATATTTACATCACCTTATTTCTGTTTTTTGAAAGTTAAAAATACACCAACGGGTTTAAAGGGGAGTCTGGGTAATGATGATGGTGCAATGCCTGCTTTTTAACCACCATTATAAAATGGAGGCAMCTTGTGCTTTAAAGAAGAAGCTCTCAGAGAGAAAGCAGATCACGGTTAATTATTCCTGCATGGGTGTAAATCAGTGGCAGAGGACAAAATGGACCTGCAGGCTCTCTTTGCTTCATTTGAAAAGCAATTCCTGCAAGTGGATATTGATAATTAATTTAGAAATTTATGTGACAATGTCTCATATCATACAGATAATTGGGCCGAAAAGGTGCAAGCACTTCTACGTTAAAGCTGGCTTTTTAATAGCTATTAGAAACCAATAAAGTCAAAGACATAAGGATCATTGCAAATAAATGTCACCAGAGCTGCACTCTGAGAACTGAGGCAGGGTTTTGTTCTGAGCTTTGACATCTGAAGATGATGTCTTCCCATCATCTCCAGCCCCCCCCCCCCCCCCCACACACACACACACACTTTTTTTGACAGGGAGGGGGTGACGGCAGTGGCCCTCCACTGTCACCACTCGCAGAACACTGCATACACAGTGGCAGCTTCAGCAGATGTTCAGTCACAAGGCCCAGATGGGCAGAGCAGACAAACATCAGCTGTCTGCAGAGGGTTGGGGGAAGTGGGACGTGGGGTGGGGGAGATTGAGGGGAAACTGTAGAATTCACACAAGATTCTGTCTCCAGTCACAGTGAGGATGTGCTCCAGTTTCCTCTTCGCTCAGTCCCCTGCTGCTGCCTGTGCACGGCCACACAGAAGGCTGACAGAACCACAGTTTCACTCCAGTAAAGGTCTCACTGAAATTACACACMCTGGATTCATTAGCCAATTCATTCATGTTGTAAAATAAAGCTTCTTCTACATGTTAGACAAGTGAAATCCCCACATTTGCTCTTTTCTTAGCTAAGTCACCAATTTACAACTTTTTTTTAGAAAATTAAATAAATATGGGTCAGGCTGACAGTATTTTGTGGTAATGTGATTTTCTTTCCTCGTATAGTTGCTGCTGAAAAGTGTGATATTTTAGAGCTGCCGTTAGGTGACAGTTTTTGTGATTTAGGGGATGGTGAAAAGGGTGGACACTATGGCACTTCAAAGGGAGATTTCTCAGGTGTACGCTACAAACAAAGAAGTATGAGCTGCACTTGTAAAGAAAACATTACGAAGACAAGTTTTCTTTTGTTGACAACAACAATCACAAGGTCTATTTTTGGTGTACTAATCAGTGGTGGCTGGTCAATAAGGGCCACAAGGGTGTCGCCCCACCACTATTTTTGGTACATATTTTTTTTAAATTAAAATTACAAAATAAAATGTCATAAATGTTTCAAAAAATATTGTATACATCTTTTCTGATAAATAAAATAAATAATTTAGTTATTGATGTGTAAATTTCTATTTTACTGAGCTTTTTCGTGTTGCGTCACTTCCGGGTCACGAGCTGTTCACAGCCCCAGATTCCCATAGACAAGTCATTGTAAGATTTTGGACATGCGCAGTAAGTCCCCAATGCAAAAGCATAGGTTGGCCTGGGGCTCAGCATGTGGCTGCCCTGCAGCTGACCTCACACAACCGGTAGTGGGTTACAGTGTGTAACAACTTTTTCAAGCATCAGGATCTAATCCAGCATGGATTAAAAGAGGTAAGAGAAAAGCTAAAATACTTTTGTAATGCTTGTTAAGTATACTATATTATATATTAATGGTGAACACAACTTAAAATAATATAATATATAATGTATTTTAATATTTTTATGTTTATGCTTTTAACAGATATTAGAATTTATTTTTCTCTCTGCTGCCTTTCATTTTATTATATTTTTTCTTCTATTATGCATAGTTTATTTTGTTTTTTAATGAAATAAATCCATTTTTAAAACAAAAAATATAATAGTTTACCTTAGAGGTGCAACAATTTGTTGCTATTAAAATAATATTAATTGTTCTCTATATATTAAATATATATTA